AGCTACTCCTTTATCAACGCATTTCAGTGGTCTGCATTATGTAATCAGCTACTCCTTTATCAGCGCATTTCAATGGTCTGCATTATGTAATCAGCTACTCCTTTATCAACGCATTTCAATGGTCTGCATTATGTAATCAGCTACTCCTTTATCAACGCATTTCAGTGGTCTGCATTATGTAATCAGCTACTCCTTTATCAACGCATTTCAATGGTCTGCATTATGTAATCAGCTACTCCTTTATCAACGCATTTCAATGGTCTGCATTATGTAATCAGCTACTCCTTTATCAGCGCATTTCAGTGGTCTGCATTATGTAATCAGCTACTCCTTTATCAACGCATTTCAATGGTCTGCATTATGTAATCAGCTACTCCTTTATCAACGCATTTCAGTGGTCTGCATTATGTAATCAGCTACTCCTTTATCAACGCATTTCAATGGTCTGCATTATGTAATCAGCTACTCCTTTATCAACGCATTTCAGTGGTCTGCATTATGTAATCAGCTACTCCTTTATCAACGCATTTCAATGGTCTGCATTATGTAATCAGCTACTCCTTTATCAACGCATTTCAGTGGTCTGCATTATGTAATCAGCTACTCCTTTATCAACGCATTTCAGTGGTCTGCATTATGTAATCAGCTACTCCTTTATCAACGCATTTCAGTGGTCTGCATTATGTAATCAGCTACTCCTTTATCAACGCATTTCAATGGTCTGCATTATGTAATCAGCTACTCCTTTATCAACGCATTTCAATGGTCTGCATTATGTAATCAGCTACTCCTTTATCAACGCATTTCAATGGTCTGCATTATGTAATCAGCTACTCCTTTATCAACGCATTTCAATGGTCTGCATTATGTAATCAGCTACTCCTTTATCAGCGCATTTCAATGGTCTGCATTATGTAATCAGCTACTCCTTTATCAGCGCATTTCAGTGGTCTGCATTATGTAATCAGCTACTCCTTTATCAACGCATTTCAGTGGTCTGCATTATGTAATCAGCTACTCCTTTATCAACGCATTTCAATGGTCTGCATTATGTAATCAGCTACTCCTTTATCAACGCACTTCAATGGTCTGCATTATGTAATCAGCTACTCCTTTATCAACGCATTTCAATGGTCTGCATTATGTAATTAGCTACTCCTTTATCAGCGCATTTCAGTGGTCTGCATTATGTAATCAGCTACTCCTTTATCAACGCATTTCAATGGTCTGCATTATGTAATCAGCTACTCCTTTATCAACGCATTTCAATGGTCTGCATTATGTAATCAGCTACTCCTTTATCAGCGCATTTCAATGGTCTGCATTATGTAATCAGCTACTCCTTTATCAACGCATTTCAATGGTCTGCATTATGTAATCAGCTACTCCTTTATCAGCGCATTTCAATGGTCTGCATTATGTAATCAGCTACTCCTTTATCAGCGCATTTCAGTGGTCTGCATTATGTAATCAGCTACTCCTTGATCAGCGCATTTCAGTGGTCTGCATTATGTAATCAGCTACTCCTTTATCAACGCATTTCAATGGTCTGCATTATGTAATCAGCTACTCCTTTATCAGCGCATTTCAATGGTCTGCATTATGTAATCAGCTACTCCTTTATCAACGCATTTCAGTGGTCTGTATTATGTAATCAGCTACTCCTTTATCAACGCATTTCAATGGTCTGCATTATGTAATCAGCTACTCCTTTATCGACGCATTCCAATGGTCTGCATTATGTAATCAGCTACTCCTTTATCAACGCATTTCAATGGTCTGCATTATGTAATCAGCTACTCCTTTATCAACGCATTTCAATGGTCTGCATTATGTAATCAGCTACTCCTTTATCAACGCATTTCAATGGTCTGCATTATGTAATCAGCTACTCCTTTATCAACGCATTTCAATGGTCTGCATTATGTAATCAGCTACTCCTTTATCAGCGCATTTCAGTGGTCTGCATTATGTAATCAGCTACTCCTTTATCAACGCATTTCAATGGTCTGCATTATGTAATCAGCTACTCCTTTATCAGCGCATTTCAATGGTCTGCATTATGTAATCAGCTACTCCTTTATCAGCGCATTTCAATGGTCTGCATTATGTCATCAGCTACTCCTTTATCAACGCATTTCAATGGTCTGCATTATGTAATCAGCTACTCCTTTATCAGCGCATTTCAATGGTCTGCATTATGTAATCAGCTACTCCTTTATCAACGCATTTCAATGGTCTGCATTATGTAATCAGCTACTCCTTTATCAGCGCATTTCAATGGTCTGCATTATGTAATCAGCTACTCCTTTATCAGCGCATTTCAATGGTCTGCATTATGTAATCAGCTACTCCTTTATCAGCGCATTTCAGTGGTCTGCATTATGTAATCAGCTACTCCTTTATCAGCGCATTTCAATGGTCTGCATTATGTAATCAGCTACTCCTTTATCAACGCATTTCAATGGTCTGCATTATGTAATCAGCTACTCCTTTATCAACGCATTTCAATGGTCTGCATTATGTAATCAGCTACTCCTTTATCAAAGTCTTAAGGGTGTCGTGCCGGGTTCGCGAAAATCCAATTTTCTCTAGTATCAGTAAAGCGAAAACCCAAGTTTGGGTATTTGTCCTACGAAGGCGAAAATGAGTAATTGCTATAAAAACACCGGATTACCGTAGTTTAGATTAGCGCCCGTGCTGTTACAAACAGAGGAGAGGAGAGGAGAGGAGAGGAGAGGAGATTTACTAGAGAGTCGTTTCGTAAAAAAATAATACAGTTGGATGTTTAAACACAGGAGAAGAGATGATCAGTTTCTTAATTGAACAAACAATTAGTTTCTTAGTTGATATGGGTTATGATACCGATGGGTTTAGAGGAGAATACATACAGTATGTATTTAATGGTATATATAAAGATTGCAACTTATTTATCCATTTGGCCAAATTGGTGTCACATTTACACGGACGGATCTTCACAGGTACCACACAACCAACTAAAACCACACAATCCTTCCGACTCCCAAACAACCAATCAATATTCACGGCAGAACTAATGGGCATGGCCTCAGCCCTCCATAGTCAAGAATCCAAAAACCACAATAAAATCCTAATACTTACCGACTCCCTAAGTGGACTGCAAGCCCTCCAAAACAAAAATACCAAAAACCGACCTAAATTAATAAATCTAATACTTAAAAGCTCCAACGACCTAACTAACGCAGGCAAACAAATAACCTTCTTGTGGATACCCGCCCACGTAGGAATATACGGTAATGAAAACGCCGATAGGGCAGCTAAACTATCCCTCAAAATCCCAGAAATAAGCTTAAACTTACCCATTTCAAAATCAGAAATTAAAAGCGTAAATAAGCAAAAAATCACCAAACAATGGCATAACCTATATCTAAACTCAAATAGCCAAATCAAAAAAGTACTCAGCAAACCACTAACCAAAACAAACATTCTCCATCCATCAAAAAAAATCGACAGAGTAATCACTAAACTCCAAACAGGACACACCAACCTAAATAACCACCTAAAAAAAAAAAAAAAACATACTACAGGTAACTGCCCACACTGCAAACAACTAGAAACCCCAGAACACGCACTCATCTACTGCACACACTACCTAACACATTGAACCGCATTACAAACCACCCTCAATCTAAACAAGGCTCTCACTCTAGAAGCAATACTAAACCAACAAAATAAACTAGAAAACTTCAAGGCCTTAGGCGTATTCTTAATCAAAACGGAACTAATAAAACGCATCTAAAAACACTATAATCCACCAAATCAAAATTACATAAACACACAAACATCCACCATGCCCAGCTCCCTTAGTTCTCCTCCCCTACCCCATCGGCATCTATTCCAAATCTCAAAATTCCCAAATTCTATATAAGCAACCCCTAAAGCCCCCTCTTGGGTTGCACAGACCACTTTCGCCCCTTTCGGAAACACATAAAATGGCCTAGCCGGGCCCGTGTGCGAAATACGCATCAGTCGGAAAGCGCACGTTAAATCTCAAAAGTAAGTAAGTAAGTAATTTATCTATGTCCAAAATGGCTAATGCACAAGTTCGAGTGACCATGGTTGATACCGTGCGAGGTGGTCAGCACTTGTTTTATGAGGGATTCAAGTTTCGTTGTCAGAAAACGGTCCGTGAGAAGAAGTATTGGAACTGCGTTGTTGCTGCCTGCAGACCGTCGGTGATCACTGAAAACGGCATTCTTCAAGCGGCTTTGCAGGTAAGAAAATAATGCACATGATGATGCCTGAGATCTGGAACCATTTTGGTAACCAAGGGCATCGCACTAACAATAACGTCGAGGGGTGGAATCACAAACTCAACAAACTTGCCAGGAAGAGCCATCCGAACATTTTTGAAGTTGTTACGCTATTTCAAAGAGAACAATCCAACGAAGAAGTCGCCATTCAACGAATTGGAGCCCTTGGAGTCTTACGTGCATACGCATGGTTAAGGGGTATTCACACGGTACAACCAGTTGTATACAACTTGTTGCATGCAATAAATTGTGTACAACTAGTTGTACCGTGAGAATGCCCCTTCATGCACATACTTATCGCAATACAAACACACGTTTCTTCTGGGACAGAAGTTATCAGCAGAATTCCATGGTTAACCCCCGTATTGGCAAGTTACTCTTGGAGATTCGCCGTACGATTGGCCTGTTTGCCTGGATCACCGTATCACAGGCCATAAGTGGGTGTGAAGTGAAAACTAAATCCTAAAATATCTTCAACATTTACACAAATCAGATTTTCATGACCAGATAAGATATCTCCACGTGGCGTTTTCGTAAGACGACAAAAAATTCAAAGCTCCACGAATTCCTTATCGTCAGTGTCGAGATGGCCTGCACAGGAATCCATCATTTAATATTAAAGTGGTGGCGGTGGCTGGGGAATTTAAGACATGTTTAATTTTTCAGTCACTGCAGAGAGAGAGGGGGCGAAGGATTTTTTAAATATCACAACACATTATTTTAAGGACAATCAGCATGTCCAGAGAATAATTATTTTTCAGATTTATTGATTATTTTTTGTTTCACAGCGTCATAATTACTCAAGAAAATGTCACCCCTAGCATGGCCTTGTGAATCAATGACCTTCACATCAATTAACTGGGAACGTCAAATAGCAACATCAACAAATACGTCTTCTACCAGTTCATGGGCATAAATTCTGGGGAGGTATAATTACACTTTGTGAGTTGTCGTTTCATGAAACAATACATATTGTCTTCTCGCTGTCTAAAGAACGCTGCTATCCTCCCCAGCCCGCTGTTGGTGAGCAGCAGCGTGTCACAATGACTCAGCGCTTCCTGGTCCAGTATCACCTTCCGGAAGCCGTCACATCTAGGGGCCTTGTCCACATGCGCAATGACACCCGGAAGTGTTACAGAATTATTTGGGAAACGTCTAAGGCTCTCCTTTCTTATATTTTCTGAATCTGTTGACACAAATATTTTATATTTTGACGTATCGTTAAACTGTTCCAGAAATGTCCATATTGTTTTCACACTTTTATCATCGTTTCTTGTCTCACTATCATTTGGAATGCTTGGATTCTTCCCCATACGAATCTGTGCACAAATAAGAGAGTAATTCCTTGGAACGAGAGATAGGAATTTATCCAGATCCTTTTGCAAAGGATCCTTTAAACGAAACAACGTCCTCCACGATCTGGCATAGACCTCACCAAGAGAAGCGTTCACAATCCACCCTAGACTCTTCCTGTGTATATAATTCTTTTTCAGATATCGAACAAAATCTGTGTTGAGAGTGAGGTATGTTATCTTTTCTGTGAAAATTTTGCTGACGTCCGCAGTTGCCATTTTCTGTCGTAAAGGATGTGCCAAACTGTTGAGCTTTTTTAACGTCTGCGATTTGAGTTTGTGAATCTCTGGACTGACTATCCAGTCCACCTCGTTTGGGCGAAGAAAGTTCGACAACTCGCAAGGTTTGTTCATCTCTATGCCGAATCCACGGCCCGTCATTACCGACATCACGTAACCAGCAACGATACCCTTCTGACGATCTGCATACCCGCCGCATTCATGACCTTTCAAGCACTTGTAAATTATATATTCAGGAGATGACTGTTTGATGCCTGGAAGAGGCTGTTCTTTTTGGTCGTGAGCAAGCATGGGCTGATCTGGCATAGAGAGATTTGACATTGTGATACGCATCTGATTATTCGTCACTGCCACGCTGTAGATGACTACGACGACGGCGACCGTGACGACACTGACGACAACGACGTAACGGGACATGCACTGCGATGACATGAGAAATAAGATTGTTAAGTAACAACGGAACAGACCCATCATGAATCTGCTGATGGAAAGAAACAAGGCCACGGATGTAAAACATCTCACGTCATTTCACATATGATGTAAGACACCAGAAGCTTTGTTAATTCTTTTGAACTTAGGGTCAAGTCGTCCAGTCGTCTAAGGCGCCGCAATTCGCCAGAAACATATGATTGTGGGTTCGAATCCCTGTTCGTCTCGATTATGTTTTTTAGGTTTGTCCGCACCATACCCGTGCTCGTGAGTTTCACCAAATTGGTAAACGTATGCATTACTTTCCTCCCTGACACGCCGTGATATAACTGGAATACTGTTCAAAGCCGGCGTTAAACCTAACTCACTCACTTACTCTAAAAGACGGGATATTTTTCGGCCACTTCTTCAAACCAAATATTTCTTTTCACACAAACACGCTTTTCACGACATCAAACATGTGCAGCGAACACGTGTTGTTATTGTTTATATTAATTTTCCCCATATTTTCGGGTACAAGTTATTTTTTATTCCCTCAGAATATCAAAAGGATTGTCCCTAAGAAATCATTTCGTTGCAATGATAGGGCGCGTCTTGTATTGAACAGAACACAAGCAACGCTGTGTTCCCTTATTTCTTTCCATCAGTATATATCAATCCCATAATCACACTATATGTTTACATTACCCAGTGTCAACGGATTACATACTTATGAGACCGCCTCCGTGGTCTAGTGGCAGAGCGTCCGCCCGGAGAGCGGAAGGTACGGGGTTCGATCCCCGGCCGCGTCATACCAAAAGACGTTAAAAGATGGTAGTTGTTGTTACCCTGTCTTGCGCTCGGAGTCAGTATACTGTGTCTGAGTGGGGTATTCATGTAAAACTGCGGCATGTTATCTCAGTGAGCTAGCACTATAAATCGGCATCAGTCCGGACTAGTACAAGCAGCCACACAAACACACACACGTACACACACGTACATGCACATACAGATCACCATCTCAGTCGTCGCTCCCGACACCCACGAGGTCATGTCTTGTTTGTAATACGTGAAGAAAATGTTAATATTTATAATTGATACAATTATATAAAAGATATACCCAAGTCCGAACGCTGAAATACCTTTTTCCATGACACCTTCACTCTTTCTGACCTTGATCCAATCATCCGGGAGATATTCCTCTTTGAGTATATGGTAAACTCTCCACTCGAGCGCACCGAATATTATAAAGTTGATAACATCAGGGTTGTGGAGCCTTGTCCTTGACCCTGCTGTGTGCACGAGTAAAGATAATAGCTGGCTCAACGTCCGTGTGCTCCCAGTGATAGCGACGACCATTGTATGACCTCTTGACTGAAACCAGGCTATCTTGGGCTGGGCTCATATTATAGTCCTGTGCACATCGAAAATGTCAAAGATGGATGATATTGCTTATCGCTATAGCTGCGGTGAGGGGATGGTCGTTTATTATAACTGGTAATCCAGTTAAAACATCTCACAAAAAGCGTTTAATTGAGACAAGAAGGCTTTGCACAGAATTTGGGCAAACATATTTGGTTTGTTACAGGTAGAGAGGGTTTAAGCATGTTGTGCACGTGCAGGTCATGACGATGAATTTGACTACACTCCCGTGGACACACGTTTTGCTCATGAGACTATGGCGAGGTCGGTGTGACAAGTCGATACCAGAATTCTCTAAAAGTCGTTTGATAGAAGTTAATTACAAATAAATAAACATGTCAAAGCTAGGTAAGCATGGCCAAATCCATCTTCCCGAGGCAAGGGAGTTAACTGACTATAAAAGTCCACTTTCCACCCTTACCAAACTAGGCTGGAAGTATGGAGTTATATCATGGCTGGACAAACGAGTCTATGTATAGTCCAATCAAAATTGCGTAACGAAATACTAGTATTAATCCGGTTCGTAAACTACCGTGCAGATTTCTGTCGATTGCAGGAATTGCAAAGCTTGTGCACCGTCAACTTAGCGTCAACATTCATATTTTTAATCAAGGTGCTCACGTGATTTGATGCTCTTCGCGAATTAAGACTACTTTTATTACGATATAGATCTTGATTTATGGATCAGATCGTCTTCACTGGGCGCCCCCATTTTGTTTGAAACAAATGCAAGTGATATGAGAGGTGGAATCTGATTGGTCAATAGAAGGGACATAACTGTCTCGTAATAGCAACTGGTGGCTCCGCTGTCGAGCTCAGACATTCAGTAGTGTCATAAATTACATGGAGAAAGAATATACAAATAAATCGAAAGCATTGTCAAAAGCTAGCACAGGTCACACTGGTCTGTCTGTGTCTACGCTAAAGCGCGCCAGAGCGGAAGGTATTGCTCGTGACAAAAGAGGGAGTAGTAAGTCGCGAAATCCAGTGATCAAATCCCAACTTGACGATTTCGACAAGTGCGCTGTTCTCCAATTTGTACACAATTCGTATGTAGTACGAAAACAACTGCCAACTATATGCAGTATCTGTGACATGATCAAAACTGATTTGAATTATGACGGTTGCAGAGAAAGCTTATGGTTATCTCTGAAACGTGGGATATAGATGGAGTAAAACGCAGTCAAATCGTAAGGTGTTAATGGAACGGAAAGATGTGGTTGCAAAGCTCATTCTTCCCCGCCCTGAAGGCGGGGAAGTATACGGGAAACGTTAATTTTGTAGCATGTTTGTCGACATGTTGGTTTATTTGAAATTTCAAGCCACGCATTTACGGAAACAAAACATACAAATCATGTGCGTGGAATGTTGATGCTATTCTTTTCCAGCAATAAGAGATACTTCAAAATCGTCTTTATGTAGTTAATTGATACATCCGACCGTTTCTGGTCATTAGCTGACATTATTAAACCATCCATGTGTAATCCGATGTCCTTTTTTCCTCAAGGACTTATTTTCTGATTTTCACGGTGTATACAAAAGAAGAACTGTACTCCGGAGATCGTAAATAACAGCATATAATACAAAGTATGTTCTGAATATGCCTATTCATGAACAACGACGACATCTCAATTTAAATGTAATATGGCTGAAATCCACATTCGACATACCACACTTTTGATTGTTTGGATGCTTATGTTCACTGTAAATATTTGGAATAGTTATATTCCGAATTTTGAATTAACCCAGTCCCCCGTGTTTTTTTTAATCAGTGCACCGCACACAGCCACATGTGACACGTTTGGTAGCAAAGTCAAAGCAAAATCGGAGTAGTGTGTCGGCGAATTTGCATCAAGGCTGTAGTATTTTTCAACCGTTTAATGGAATTCAATGTACAAGCCGTAGCTCTGGTCACTCATATATTTTGTGCCCCATGACTCAAATCTATTTGCGTCTGTACCGTGTTTTCATAGGATCATTTCATCAATCAATATTGATATCCCCGTCACTTTTGGTAACTTTTAATGATGTCTCCATTTTTACGGATTTTGATTCGTATGCATTATTTGACTCTCATCAGCGGAATGGTTTGGGTCAGACTGATCCGAATGGAGCGGGTTTACTTCAGTTTAGTAGTATGGATGAATTGTTATGTTACATCTTAACAGTATATCAGGTGACTATGCTTGTCGTAAGAGGCGACAAACGGGATCGGATAGTCAGGCTTTGGTTGATGCATGGCATCGATCCCAATTGCGTGAATCGATGCTCATGATAATAAGCACTCGATTGTCTGGTCCAGACTCGATTATTTACAGACCGCCGTCATATAGCTGGAATATTGCTGAGTGCACCGTTAAACGACAAACCAATCAATCATCATCAAATGAACTCAAACCAGTCATTGTTACAAGTAAACCACATTCCACAACAGTTACTGACACTGGATAAAAAAACAGTACATAGAAAAACCCAAGTAACTCAACTCATCATGATCACAAGTACTATTCTTTGAAAGAAAGAAATACAAAAAAGAAACTGACCAAAAAACGTAATACAAGAGACGAGGAATCTCCGTTATTGATTAGTCCCGGTATTGAAATGTTCTCCAACTACGTGATAATATTTTGAGTATGTGCATCTGTGGTTGTGACAAAAAGACCTTATCTAGTATGACTTTTTTGCCATATGGAGCCCTTAGTATTTTCGTTTACATTATAATAACCAAATGCCAAGTGTAAAAAGAATCTGATCTATTGTTTGAGTATGTGCATCTGCCAATGTTGTTGGCAGTTTTGATACCATTTCCACATGTTTACATTTTTGCCAGAAATCGCTTCCATTTCCTTCGATCTACTTTTTAAATAAAGACCCAGCTTGCCGTAAGAGGCGACGAACAGGATTGGGTAGTCAGGCTCGCCGATTTGGTCGATGCATAACATCATATTCCAGTTGCATAGTTCGATGCTCTTGGTGTCAATCACTGGATGATCTGGTCCAGACTGGATTATTTACAGACCGCCGTCATATGGCTGGAATACTGCTGAGTGCGGCGTTAAACAAGAAACTATTTTTAAATAGACCTACCCTATGCAATTGTATCAACTCTATTGCCCAATACTCAAAATAAATTTAAAAAGATTTCCACAACAGCGTTGTGTTATTTGTTGTTAATATAATTATGCTCCTTCATGCCTTTCAGTAATATCATAATTATGCGTTTTTGAGGCATCACATATGGCGGGGAACTTTGATGCTTTGCATCAATGTTCTCTTGTGTAGTACTTACGTGCAATAAGAACATACCGAGATGAGAACCGGCCAATCATCTTTATAGATGGAACGTGGTTGCCTGTGCAACACACCCTCCCAACATGTTGGCAGTTGCAGGGTGATATGGCTATAGGTGGGGTTCAATCCCCGCCCGGGGCCGGACCTCGGCTGATCATTGGATAAGACCAAACACACTGCTTATATTTGATGCAAAACTCAAAACATGTGATTATCATGACGAGTTAAATTTTGATAATTTCTCGAAATGGTTGAAGGAAAAACTGATCCCCAACATTACACTCAAATCCGTCACTGTCACTGTACAACGCGCCATATCATAGCAGGCAAGTGGATAATATATCCAACAACCGCTAACCGAAAGGATGAACTATTGGCATGAAAGCAAAGGCATGATATTGCGTTTGACGACAAGAAGCTCAAAGCCGAACTGCTGTTTCTTGCAAAATCTAACAAATCTGGTCCGGGTACCGAGGAGATACCGTCCTAAAACAACATGGACATGCTTTTCTGCGTCTACCACCTTACCATGCAGATTTAAACCCAATTAAGTTGATTTAGGCTACTGAGAATTTTGTGGTTTCCAAATAAAACTGGCAGTTCCCAAAAACATCGATTCGAGCTTCATGTGAAGAACGAATGTCTGCAATCGGTGCCAAGGAATGGTTAGAATGTCGTAGCATGTCCGATGTGTAGAAGATGGCTACAGGCAATGGGGAATAGGGGTTGAAAGAGAAATAAACAGCATCATTGTCAAACTTGTCTGACGAGTTGATCAGATATAGAAATAGCGTCAGAATGTGAAGACTAGTGCTATGATTATCCAGTTATCTCTATATTAATTCAGCAAGCAATATTACGTTTCCAGTATGCTGAAACCCCATAAACAATCACATGGGATTAATTAAGGAGCATGTCATTGAGTCAACTATCACTATGTTAAGGTATCAACCTTCAAAAGCATTTAATGAATGACATGACACTATTCATTACTGCTCTCTGGGGTTAAAAACGTATTCCATTTTACAGCAAATGAATTCCCTTTATTGTCACGATACTTCTCAACTGTTGTTTATATATGCAAATTTGCTGCCACCGTTTTCACAGTCATCGGGTACCTCACATCAGCGCGTAGTATTATGTGCTACCAAACACGCCACTAGAACTCGTTGTTAGCCGAGACAGGACACGCACATATCCATCGTACTACTTGTCGCGGACCATCCGCTACCCCTTTCTTCACAATGTTACGCGGCAGTGGGCGGACCTCATACATAGCCGTACGGGGACAATCGTCAGGTCACAACTTAACTTATCTTGGCTTACCAGCATATATGTGTGCGTGCGTGCGTGCGTGCGTGCGTGCGTGCGTGCGTGCGTGCGTGCGTGCGTTCGTTCGTTTGTGTGTGCGTGTTGTTTGTAAGATGGGTCTTAGGACTGTATCAGATGTTTGGTGGAATTTGTCTGTGTTGAGTCTGATTGTCTAGTCGTCTAAGGTGCATTAGGCTTACATAATTACGTCCCTTGTCGCGCCAGAATCCGCTTGCCGTAGGTTCGAATCTCAGATTCGACCTAGTTATGATCCATTGTCCATCAGTACCGTCCCCAAGTCGTGGCTTCATCACATCGTAAACGTCTTTGGGTTTTCTTCACGCTCACTC